CTAAGCCCCCCCCCCCCCCCTCCCCCCGAACTGAAAGTTATATGCAGAAGGAATCGGATACCGATGGATGGTGTCTGGTCTCGAAGGCTTTGTCGACGTTCACTTTTTTTTATTCGGTGTGCTATTCTCGTGTCCCCCGTCATTCACCGGCTCACCAGTAGTTGGGACCACCCGCACCCGCACACCCGTGTATTTATTTCATTCACGCCACCTTTCATCTGCCTCCGCCTAGCAAGAAATTCACCGCGCACCAAAAACAAGGAAGAAACTCATTCCGCCCAACGTGAGGAATTAGGACTCTCCGCCTGCCGTCGCCGGCCCGTGGCATGATCGCTTTCATTCTTACCGCGAATGAACGAACAACGCTCAACAAATTTCATTCATTTCCAGGTAGTGCGGGCGGACCTCAAGGAGCTGTGGGATCTCGACCTCCAAGGGGCACCGTACGGCTACACCCCGTTCTGCTCCAGTCGAGAGGAGACCCTGGGGTGCGATATATACGATATTCCCCGCATTTGTTCGGGCTTCTTTTTTGCCGGACCAAGATGGCCTTTCGTGGCTTTGCTGTTTTTGGCATCAGAGGTCGACAAGATTTTTTTTTTGTTTTTGTGTGTGTTTTTTTTCTCCAGCACAGGTATGAGAGTCAATGTATTATTCTGTATTATTCATTCGAAGGTCAACGGCGGCTCATTTTTTTTCGAATGGAGGTCGTGTTCTGCCTCGCTGGGGGTCAATGCGTTGTGAAATTTAGTACGGCACAGTCTGTGTGGGAGTTAGATACTTTTCCCTCATAGCCAACGTGTTCCGGCTCTCCGGGTGTGGTGCGTTTCAGAGGCTTTACCAGGCGTCACACCAGGCAAGGATGACTCAGGCAGCGTGCGCATTTCACACACCCTTGCCCTTGTCGCCCACGTTGCCTCCGCCCCCCCTGGTGGTGTTGTTCCGCTCCCTCAGGTACCAGTTTTGGCGAGGCGGTTTCTGGCAGGCCCACCTCGCTGGACGTCCTTACCACATCTCCGCGCTGTATGTGGTGGACCTTAAGGCGTTCCGAAGAATGGCCGTCGGCGACTCGGTACGTTTCGTGTCGGAAACTGTATTGGGGGGGGGG